ACTTTTTTTTAAACCTGATTTGTATGTTTTATGGTATACAGACTTTATTTGTCTTGCTTCTATCACAGGGGATGCATTTGGAAAACAAAAGGCAGCACAACCTTTAAAAGACATAACAAATCGTCAACTTTTCACACAATTACATTATACAAATCTAGAGAGTTGTGGACACGCTTCATCGTCTCAATCTGAGGCACAATCCCCAAATTTACTTCAACAGAAACATTTGCAACTTGGTTTGTCAACTTCAAATGTGGAGACAAATTATCTTCTACCAGATTTAAATATGCTACCCCTTCTTCCAGGTTGTTATTATAAACACAATTATTAATATATCATGAATTATTTTTTTATACTAACGACATTTTATTATAACTTATTATTAGAAATTGAAGATGTCAATATTGATGGTGATGTAGCAGGTATGTTTTTAATTAAAAAAAATTGTAATAAATTACACAAAAAAATTACAATTATACTATTTTTCAAAATAATGGTAGCTTGATTAAATAGTTAACGTAAATTTCGTGAAAACAATCGCAGAAAATAAAGATGCAACTGAAAGTGAAGACGACTATGAAGGTATGTTTTTCTTACCACAAACAATAATTAATTTATGTCCCCCTTTTCAATTTACGTGGCTAACTTAATATGATTTTCATGCTATTTAGAGCCACATGTTGGATATGGAATTATTGACAATGAAGGTATGCATGTTTATTTTTTTTATATCTATATACAATAAGTAGGTATACCATAAAATAACGCCTTTTTATTAATCTTACATTTGCTTTACTTTTTCATAGAATACTGGGATATAGGCAATCCTACATATGAATGTGAATATTGTGGTGCTTACTTCTGGTACGAAGAAAGAATCAACAAGAAAATCAAAGCTAAAAAACCAGAGTTTTCTTTGTGTTGTAATCATGGAAAGATACGTCTCCCAAAGCCAAAAAAACCTCCCACAATTTTAAAAAACTTATTATTCGGATCAGGTAACAACAAATTCGACTTTTACCATGCTTCAATACTGTCTTCAATATATGAATAAATCTTGATTGATAAACATATAATTTTATATAGGTTCAAAAAGTAAACATTTTAGAGATAATATTAGAAGTTATAACTCAATGTTTTCATTTACCTCAATGGGAGGAAAAGTTGATGCTTCTATCAACCAAACAAAGGGGCCAAGAACATTCAAATTATCTGGACAAAACTATCATCAAATCGGGAGTTTATTGCCCCCTGAACGGATCCACCCCCAAGTTTGCACA